TAGCTCAGATACAAACGCGAAAAATAAAATTGAAACACAAAAAATCCTTTGAGGAGGTTTATACAATAAATCATTTAATCCTCTTATACAATTTTATCGAGATTGCCCGGATTGGAACGAGGTTTCTTTATTATTCGGTCTTCCCTAGCCGATTCCGCACGGATTTTCCAATGTCCGGCTTTTAATTAGTACTTTATGAGAATTTGCGATTTTACCATCGATGCTGATATTCTGTTAGTTTTTAACTGTTTTGTATATTTGTTTATAATTTACACGCAACGGATATAACTCTTTAAAGTTTAGAAGGTCTATTCCCGAAGGAACTTAAACCCTCGAGAATTTCAAACACATCAATCACGAGAAGCAGACGTTAGACAATGTTAGAAAGAAACTCGCCTTATAAAAAATATTATTGATGAAGACAGGTAGACCGTTTGTATATCAGATACGTAAGTTTTGATGTATTATTCTATTAGATACATATCATACATACTTCATACGACACAAAAGAGTTGTAAGATAATCGTTACGTATAATTTATAGTCGTTTTATGTCACTTTTGATGAACTAGTAATACTATTGAAAAAATAAATGTTGACTTCGGCTCCGATTTCCATATTTTATGGCCATAGCGAAGGGTTTTTTTAGGTAACATGAGACTGGAGTAGCCAGTGTTAGCTTCCTTTTTTATATTTTGTGGAAGGCCCCCATGTTCTGAAAGAACAAAACAATCTTATCTCCTTCAGAATGTTTTCGTTAAATAAACAATTTTAGTTGCATCATTTTTTTATTATACGCTACCGCACTTTACACGATCCTGACATTGTCTACAACAAACTAATTTTGACTTTGTTCTCTACATTTAATAAGAAACAAAATCCTGCGAAGTTAAAATTGGTTTTGAATAAAGGATAGGATACCCTTTGTATTTCGTTGTTGGTTCTTTTGTCTATTATATCACTGATGTCTAGCCATGCACGGTCCAAATATTCAATTTTATAATTGTACTTCTGTTTTATGTGAATTAATATATTTAGTAGGGTTTTATGATAGTTTTAAAATACTTTTTTTAGTTTTGATTAAGAAATTAATTACAATCGTAACTTCGTATTGATTTCATGAAAATAATGTCATCTGCCGCATTTTTAAGAACAATAATATATTTATTATTTATTCAGATGGTCTTATATTATCATAAACATTGTGTTTAAACTTAACAGGTGTTTAAAGTTTCGTTACTCAAGTGTGAAGATGTGCTATTTGAATGGAGTCAGATGGAGAATTTGCAACCCATAATTTACTTTCTTTAAACATCCGGTGTAATAATATATAGGGAAAAATACAGAGCAATTTTAATCAATAATATGAATGTACTGTAAAATATTATTATTTTAACTGTATGAATCATTTACTGTTATCAATGTCAAAGGCCTAGACAAAATATTTTCTCTCGGTAATTCTTATCAAGACGATTCTGAAAGCGGTCTTGGTTTGAAACTTGTTTAATTTGATGACGTCATCAAGTGGGGGTCTCGAAAGAAAATATTGCTGGAACAAACATTTGCGTTGAGCCTTATAGCCTTGCTGTGCTTATCTTTGTGCAAATACTACTTAGCGGCGGACTGGTTGGCGCAAGAGTTTCAACCAAAGCGGCAAATGATATATCTCACGATAAATGCACTTTATTATCATAACCTAGTAGGGGAATGTTATAATTCTATTTCTCAATCTGCTTTATAAGCTATCTCGTACGCAAATGAAACCTGGAACGACTTGCCACTGTGAATAATCTAATATGACATCACGACTAGATAAAACGTGGTAAGCTTTAATGTAAATTACTTCTACGATATTTTATTGATGACTTCACAATAATCCTCTAAGAAATTTATCTTCAATGTTAAAAATAAAATTATGTTTTCTACAAAATATACCGAAATATATTCTACATTTTTTTTTCAAATGAAGTACAATGTACTTACACCTTGCGAGTCGTGGTAAGAATTTTTCATTTTTTTTTTCATATAAAACAGTCGCCATCTCCTATGAATTATGTACGGCCAAATGGACGATTAGTTCCATTGATATGAACTGACACTTGATTTAATCTACTCGCATAAAGCTGATGTTGGGATAGTGTTAACAATAGATCAAGGATGTTTGTTACAATTAACCCGAAGGCAAATAATGAAAGTGATAAACAATATAAACGATCTGATTCATTTTGGAGATAATCTATAAGAATTATGGTCGAAAATCAAAGGTGCTTACATAATTTATGATATGAAGACGGCGAAAATGACATCATTTTTATAACATAAAACTTTTATTTAATCTTGTAATGTAGAACACATTTCGAAGTTATATTATTAAATAGGCATTTCAATTTCGCTCAAGAGTATGAGGGCCTTAGTGAGTATCAAGCGACTTACAAATTGTCAGAAACTTTCTAATCTTTCCATGTCGCAGGACAAGATATTTCACCGAAAACGAGATTTATTTACTTTGAAGTAAAATTAATGGGCAAAGACTTTTATAATATAAGCCAATTTTAATTAATTAAGTGACAAAATAAATCAAATTTACGTCATATAAAAACCCATAAACTAGAAATGTTACGTATACATTTTGTAATATAAAATTAAAAAGTTCCTTCCAATGATAGTCTGTGTGATGTTCAAGTCATAGACATCATATAGAAATTTACACCACATAATATGTAGAAACAAGTCTAGACAGTGCAAATACAGCTATAAAGAATAAATTGTGGAATTGATAAGGAAATGCGCTTTTATTACAAAAATGTATTGCTCGAAATTTGCACGTGCAACGTAATTAAGTTGTATATCGTTCGTTTCTATTTTGGTTGTGGTAAATCAATCGTTTCAGATACACACAGAAACTGATATCTATATTTTTGAGAGTTACATAGTTCCTCTAAACAATAATTTTCTTTTAAGAGTCCGCTATAAATTCTTAGTCACCAATAACAAGGGAAAAATTATTATCATGTCTTCTGCATAAAACATGTTTGTCTATCTATTTTTACAATATAAGCATAAAATAACTAAAGATACATTCGATAAAGTCGTGCAACTAAGAGAACTGTAACGAATTTATTAACGTGATGACCATTATACAAAAATAAAATCTATATACAACTATAGCAAACATTTATTTTGCATAAAATACCACAAAATATATCTTGCCATTCGTTCCGACATTTTACTTTCTGATCAAATTGTAATCGTGTCGAATCGCAATTTAAAACCTAACCAGAAGTGCGCTTCGACCTTGAATTAGGAAGAAAAGGAAGTAGCGACGATGGCTCATAAATTTTTATCATGGCCCAATGGTCCTTGTTTTCTAGGATGTTAATAGACTCTTTAAAGGTTTTACTGATACCAGATATCTTTCGGTATTTTCCTGTATGCGTGAGATACATATATTATGATCGGCTCGCATGTAAACAGAAGTGAACTTAACTGTTAATACGAAATTAACTCTGATTATAAATTACATATTACCTTGAATGTAATAGAGAAGTGCTATCAATGTTCAAGGATAAGAGAGTAATGACATTGCTAATAAAATTTATCATTACAATATAACATTACCCTCCAACCTTCGGGACAGTAAGGGCTATTACTCGAAGATAACGAACTGAGGAAGATAAGCAAGCTCTAGAAATATGCGACCACACATCACAGGATATGAATATGAAGATGACTATTTTATAAGGAATGTTATATCTTATGTTATATGACTCCTCTAGGTTTGATTAAAAATATAATTTGGACTAGAATAAAATATTTTATACATACCGTAACTTCAACATACTCTTATATAATTATGGATAGAACAAAGTACTTGTCTGTTCTGATACTATAAAACAGAGCAATTGAATAATATGTTGTTATCTAACATGCGCAACTATTATCAATATGTATGTCTAAGTTACGTATACAATATGTCTCTAAAATATAGATCTTGTTTCACACGAAAGGCAAACTTATCACAGAAATAAACAGAGGTTACTAATTAGTGAGGTAGTATTAAATTCAATAGGTCATACTGACAAACGCTTGATCTATAATTTGATAAAAAAATCATTCCCCATTTTCAGTTAGTGTTATTGCATGCGCCTGCGCATACAGCGCACGTGGTTTGTTTATTAATAACGAGCGCAGGAGAGCGCGTGTAATGATGTAACGTGACCATGCGTCTGTTATTATGGATTTTGTGTATAAAGATTACAATTACTGTGCACTTACATGTGGGCTATTAGTGATACCATTAAATATATCGACATTGAGAATTAGATTTGTTACAAGACGTGAAATGTGATTTGAAATTTATAAACTAAATTGTTTTTAGATTCCGTCTTCTATCTTATATATCCAACAGTCCGTTTATTTCGCTTACACATCCGACTAGTAGGACTTTTTGATTTCCAATCCGAGCATAATAAATTCAAGTTTTGGCACGCTCCAGCTCGTCTTATCGATGTGTTCGTGCTAGTCTTCACTAACGTATCGTCCAATTCTTTACAAAGATAACTAGGAATTGAGAATTAGTCAAGGAGTATTTTAGCTACATAGTGAATTTGAAATTCCATCTTAGATTGGAACGTGAATTTATAAAATAGCTGGTCATTGGGTCATTGACTTCCAAACATTTACCTTTATTGTTACACACAATACATAATTAATAAACTAATATGTCGATTTTAATTAGTTTCATAAATGCAAACAATGAGTCACAGTCCATTCTGGAATTATCCCTTCGTGCAGGTCATTCAATGTAAATTTATTAAAAATAAGCACCAGTTATATAGGCTACTGGGTGACTACGTTGGAGATTATCAATTAAAATTATTATTGAAGCATACAATTAAAATATTGAAATAAAATTAATTTATTATATATAATTGTTAAGTATTTAAAATCCAATCACTATAATTTCAAAAAAATATTTTTTAATTTATAATCAATTATGTATTAAATTAATACGTCTCTTTCATAATAAATTGTTTGACACGTTTTGACAATGAGACGAATATCAAATGTCGATATATACGGCGACTGTCCGTCTGTCTTCTCAGCAGGTTTCTGATCTAATGCCAACTCCCTAAACTGTAAACACAAACATTAAGATTATCTTATCCCAGCACATCCATCAAACGTCTTTCGTTGCTCTAATTACACACAAATCAGATTAAATAGAAGCTCACTCATATAAAGCCAATGAACATTCTGATTGTGACTTACTTTAAAACAGACATCAGAATTATTATTGAGTTTTGTGTGTCAGACATGTTAACTTATTTCCAATGTGATGATCTATAAATTCTTTATATATTAATCATACATTTATTTAAATTTGGTGTCGAAATGACTAATATTAGATGTAGTTCAACAAAATTGAAGATCTATCGAAAGTATCTCATCAAAATACCAACAAAAATATAAATAGAATATGAAATTCTGACACGTGTATGCTACGCCACATACTACGCAAATTGTTATTGCGTCGGACCGATTGCAATGTTTGCGCTAAATCGTATCGACGATACACTTAAACGTAGACGAAATGATGGTCTCGCCGCGTCTTCGGTTTAATTAATTGACGCAAAACATATTTCGATCTGCACGAGGTGAGAGGCATGCCAAACACGATGCCACTAACTTCTTACAGAGTAGAGAAGATGTTGGCTTTCGCGGAATAAGAAAACATACAATGTTATTGTAAATAGACTCTGATAAAAACTATAAAAACACATTATCCTGGTGTTATAAAACAAACCAGTCACAATAGATAAAATTACACAATCAATTCTAATAAAATTTTACCTAGAAACTAGTTAAGAGCAGCTGATATAATTATATAATGACATCATAGATAACAACAATCATATTTCCATGCATGGGAACAAAAAAACGCCCCGCAAATACTACAGTAATTTTCCGTGTATTACTCGGTTAATTCTAGAGCAACGTACTATATTTGTCCTAACGGATCTATATGTGGAAACATTGCATCCCAAGTGCATGGGAACGCCGTAACAAGCGTTCTCTGTTTATTACACGCCTAGTCATGAATGCCCGTTCGACACTCTCTAGAGATTTAATTACATACATAATACCCATTATATGGAGTAGTACCATCAATTCAGCTGTTCACTGTTATTCGATTCTCATTTCAGTTCACGGTCAGAAACACATAATCGTGATCACAACGACTTAGCTGTTACTCTGTCACGAACGACGAAACGCATAGGCATAATTATAAACGCATTAGGGTAAGAGCCTTACTGTATCAAGAACACAATTCTTTTTGTAATGCGGGTTATGTCTTGTATGGCTCAGTCCCTTTGAATTCATGGACAACTTTTTTTTATATTAATGGAATAATTTTATTAATTCGTAAATATTATTAAACGAAGAAAGTGCACGGTTCATACATATGACGTAACATATATTACTAAGCAGTGAAACAACATAAAATTATGGAAGGAATAGAATAGGAAATCTAATGTTTGAAAATTCAATATATTTTTATCTGTGGAGCGACTTCGAGAGAAGTGGCGAAATTTTGCGAAAAGAACATGAAACGACCGGAAGTTAGTGTAAAAGAAGCGTAATAAGGAAATCATAGACGACGCGCAAGTAAATTATTTTATGTGCTGACTCCTTCGAGTCAACAATAGGGATATATCGAAAATAAGCAAACAAATTGTTGCCAATGGGGAACGCTCTAGTGCAGAGCAATTACGTTAATGACGCCATTACGCAAAGGGCATACACATTATGATTGATGATTCATCATTCGATACGGATGTGTGTTAGTTGTCTATTACTGTTAAAGAAACGTATTTAATTAATCAAGATCAAAAAGGTGAGAAGAACCAATTATATTCATAAAAGAGCCCTAAATTTATATCTTTATTTAAGTTGGAATTAGTTATTTGATACTTAATTTGAAGTTTAACAGATGTTCCTGACTGTCTTTGTATTCAAGTTAATACGAACTTTTGGTATTCGATCAAAGGCCTTAAGTTTAGTACGCTGCACGAGTAAAGGACGCCTTTCTTTCATTTCCAAAGAAGGCGTCAGAACTTTCCTTATTCCCAAAAGCTGGTGTGTTCGGGAAATGAGTCGCATTACCGAGTCAATAGACTCCGACATAAACGGAACTGGAAGGTCGATGAGGCTTTGCTATCTCGTTTGACCTTTTTTTTTTTGCCGAAGGGGAATTTTAACAACACTGTCCAAATCAAACAATTAGCAATGTGGTTTTAATAATCAATTAAGATTAATCATAGCACCACTTCGCGCTACTAGTGACACAATTCAGGGGCTGGAAATAAGCGATAAAGAATGATGAGGAACAAGTTGCTATGTTCTGTGGAAAGTCGAGTTTAGTGTGAAGATCTCGTGTCGATAACTATGTAACCACTTAGGGACACTCGTCTCGTTATTACTGGAATATTGTGACGTGCAACGACATTTACGTCTAGCATACGCTAGCAAACCGTCGCCAGATGCAGCCAATCAATAAGTTTGTCCGAAAACGGACGCAGATGCGATTCGGCCAAACGTGAGCCCGCACCCGACACTTTGTTACGAATTGAACTTTTTATAGCTGAACAACAAAGTGGTAGAGTTTTCGACGCTGTAAATGTAAAATTTATAGCTCGCTCGCTTAATAAAAACTACATACAGGCCCGTAATGTTATCGAGTCAAGTGTATGAAATGTGCTAGCGTTTTACGTCCATTTACCCATGATAATAGTTAGAGACTTCATAAGAAATTATATATAAATTATAAAACATTTTATGGAGCAATTCGAATGACTATAACGTGAGATATTTAAATTGTAAGTAGTAATTTTCCCGCATTCAATGTTAATGTTAAAATGTCAATGCAACAACATTGTATTATTTTGCACTTTAATGTGTTTCTGGGAGATGGGGTTACTTGACAAAATTACATAATGATTTCAACCTGACATCGACCTTACTTGTGGCCATCATCGGTGTGGAAGTGAACCGGGTGCATACATGACGGGGGAAACTGTGTCCACAAGGATACGTCCCGACCGATCCCAAAGGACTCCAAGAACAAATATTGCGAGTGTATTACCAACTGTAGCAAGTAACTTCTGAACTGCAACTGAGCGGATTGATATTACTTGAGTTTTCTTTACACGTATTCTTTTCTCCAGTATGCTCTTTAAAATAACAAGAGTGTCCTTTATTATTTATTGTAGTCAAAGTATTTGTAGGTCATAAGAATGTTTTAAATGTTATATGAAGATTTCATAGTAAATTGTAAGCTTAGTGTATGATTGTATTGAGAATAAGAGAATAAGCTGTCATAAGTCAAGTTTTTCACAGTTTAGCATTCCTGTATATATGGCTTTCAATGAAAAATATATGAATAACTGGATGTATTTTTTTATCTTCCATCGAAGAGGGAACAAGTTTTAATGGAAGCTACCACGAAGCGACATTTTGCTGGTTTTCTTCAAAAATTGTGAACATGAACTGATCTACATATTCATGTTTAGGATATACTCAATTGACGTTAACAAAACTTTTTAATCTAAATGGTATAGAATAAGAATAATATGACGTTACATTTATATTAAAAATACAACAGTTAATAATAAATTAATAAAACAGTTTAAAAGTCAATTATAAATTCTGAATTGTAAAATAACGATATTTAAACTAATTCTATTTCTAGCAATAGGAGACGTGTTCTTTGACAATGTTAATTTATTACAGGAAGCTTCTCAAACATTTTCTTAATTAAACGAGGACAATCTGGTGTCTCTCGTCAAAGGGGTCTGAATAAATTGTAAATATTTAATTGATGTTGATGCCATTACAACATTCTTAGCTACCCATGTACTAACATAATCTTGAGACGAAACAGTCCTTACACAACAGCCAAAAGAAAAACGTGGATAGTGTTTCATTAAAATGTAAATCACTTATTTTTTTATTATAGAAACATATTCATTATTCAACAAACTGAAAAAAATCATATTAAAGATGAAAAAACTTTCAAGCTGTCTTTTTGTTACTTTCTAAAAAAATTTGCATGCATGTACTTTTTCCCACATTAAATATTTAAAACAGCAAGATAATTTTGCATCCTCTTAAACCTAAATACATTATTAATTAGTTGGCGAATAAACACTGAGAGGATGTGATGATTATTTAATAAAACAATTTATTCATATGAATTTTAAAATGTATTATAAATCAATGTCTTAAAATCTATAAGTGCATACTTTTATCTGCATTAAAGTGTCACAGAACAGGTTTATTAAAATATTGATTTAATATATGCGTCAGATTGATTAAGGATACTAAACACAATATTGTGATTTGAATTTAAATATTTGCCAAAACCCCGACATACACGTTTATTATAAGGTTAACGACCTTGAAACAATATAAATTAAAGACTAATGCTACACCTAGAGGATAATACAGATGGCAGTATAAATTCATCGATTTAAACCCGATTGCACCTATTCAATAGAAGCAACTTCCCTTTTATCTTTAGATACTTGTATAAAAATACTTGTAAACTATGTACTATCAGTTACATTTTTGTTGTATTATTATAATTATACATAAATTTTCGTTCAGTCAAGTACCTTACAGTTGTTTGCTTTTAAATTGCAAAAGAAGGAGAGAACTCCCAAAAAAATGTAATCTAAAAGCTAATTTTAATAAATTTTATCGCATGATCCGGTTTATAGATCGCGTGACAGCACTCTTAAGCGAATGGAAGCGATTTTTACTGTCCAACTTCCTAAAAGGATACTCTCAATTTTGTTTTTATGTCTGTTCGGACATAACTGTAGAGTAGGCGCCAATTTCGATGAGCATTTTATAGTATTGTAGAGGAAGTTCCCATCGTTGAGTTTAATGTATAGAAACGTGGCTATATTAAAATTAATTATAATGGACATCATCAATAGACACAAAAATATCTGAGGATGTACCGAGTTAATATTTAATTAAAAAAACTACTACTACACCAAAAACGCAGTTTGGAAGCGAGCCAATTTTAAAGAACTAGTTTAAAAATGCTTACACGCTGTTAAAGTGTG